ACCCTGAAACAACCTCTGGGCTGATCAAAGTCAGGGCATGGCTAACTCACAGATCGAACCCTGAAACGACCTCTGGGCTGATCTAAGTCAGGGCATGGCTAACTCACAGATCGAACCCTGAAACAACCTCTGGGCTGATCTAAGACAGGGCATGGCTAACTCACAGATCCAACCCTGAAACAACCTCTGGGCTGATCTAAGTCAGGGCACGGCTAAACTTAGTTTTCACCTAGTTTTCTCATTTAACTGATGTCTTTCTTTCTCTCTCCAAGAGTGGTGGTGTTACGGGATACAGACAGATCTACAGTGAAAGAGTTCCAGTCATCACAGCACATGAGTATGTTGTACACTATGCTACTCGGACAACTATCCCCAGTTAGTCAAATCCAACATGTGGTCTACCATCAATGCTGCGTTCTGATTGGATGAGCTACTAGTAGGCTATAAGTCATATCCCTCTAGTAGCGAAAAGCACCGGCTTTGAAAATATTAAATTTAACTTTATAATTCAAAACTTCTTTACATCTATTTATTATATGACCGTGAATCTTAGAGCCTGGACACTGGCAAATCGAGCAACCTGATTGGATAGATCGCATCGCGGACTGGTCTAGATTCTCCGGTATTAACCGGTCCGATCGCATATTAATCTTACGGGGAAAACATTTTGTCCTTTTCAATGAAAAGTGGTCATATAATAAAACTCTTATCAACCGAGCTTGGTCGGTCTGTACAGGATAATCTTGACCTCGGTCGGGTACAGACATCGCTGCGCTCGATCTGTACATTCCGACCTCGGTCAAGATTATCCCGTACAGACCTCCCGCTCGGTTAATAAGATTTAAATATTTGGCCAACTCATTGGATTTAGGCTTGGATTTGAACTAAATTAATCCACTCGCCCTCACGGCCTATGAGTCAATAGTCCATTCAGCCTTCGCTTTCGTGGGATATTGATGCAAAGCCTATCCTATTGCTAAATATGCCTCTTTACCTTGGGGTAATGTTTTCTCATTTCAGACCACGTGTCATTCTCTTGAAAAGAAGATTCTTTGTTTGAGTTGTATCCATATTCTTGTGTCTTCTCATACGCAATTATTAGACAACGAACTCTTACCCTAGAAACGATACGTGGTCAGTAATTTGCCTGTTACCCAACGTTATTTGAATGTTGAATTGTAGACCAACAAGAAAGATCGGAGACCTTCATGTCGTTCTTGGTCTGGAAGATTTTGGTCCTGTCAACCCACAGCAACTCCTCGCAGCTCGTAGTGGTCTCCAGGTTGGTTTTCAGTCTCATTCATTTGTTTGCTTCATGTCATGGTTTTTACTCCCCTTAGTTACCGTTGCTATGTCCCACAAGCTAAACAAAATACCTAGAATATTTAAGTATTTCAAACTCTGATCACAGAAAATTGATTATAAATTGTTTCAATAGTGTACTGTGTAGTTGTTTGTGGGGACAAGATTTAAATTCCACTCTGGGAAAACTGCTGCAGCGGTGATTGGTTCGCTATTGTGTGAGGGGACCATGAATACTACTTGGGCGTAGTACAAACTACTTTTACTCTAGTTATTTACCATGTGTTTATGTGTTTATTTTGGAAAGCACCAGTGGCCAGTAGAGGTAAGAGTGCTGCTCTCTTCTCAGCGCTCCGGTTTTCCTCCTTCCATAAAAAATCAACTTCTGGACTCCAATTATTGGACTCTGTGAAAGAAGAGGCACTAATCCAACTCCTTCCTTCCTTCCTTCCTTCCTTCCTTCCTTCCATCTATTATTTACCATAAATATTATCTGTATTTCAGTCCTTAAGCAACACTACATCTTCAATTGAAAGTAGTCAAGCCTCGTCCGCCATACCTCTCGCTCAACCCCAGCGTGTACCACCCCATCAGCCTGAGCCTCCGGCATTAACAGACCCCAGGGCTACTGCTGAATACCAGGCCGCCATGGAACTGGAACTATGGAAAGAACAACAGGAGGAAATCTTCCAAGCCCAGGTAAATCTAGACACATTGCCGACCAGTGACTGCAGCGGAGAGCATGGGGCTTGAATGATCCCCAAAATAACTTTATCATTACCGACATTCTTGGCATCATCACTATCATCATCATCATCGTCATCATCACTTATCGTTGTGATTGTACATGATTGCCGTTATTACCCCACCATCATCATCATTTTCCTTTGTCTCTTGTACAATCGTTGCCTAAATTATCATAAATGTTTATGGTTGGGATCATTGCTTTGAYGTCAAATAACGTCGTATTTTCTTTTCTTTTTGCCATTCTTTTTTAGCTGCAAGAAAAAGAAACTCTTCACATGAGAACACTAGCTGAAGAATGGAAACGAAGAGACAAAGAACGCGAGCTTTTGGTCAAGAAAAAGGTTGGCCAACATAACTTGAAATACAACAAAATAAATACAAAATATGACAGTAAGATAAAACCGATTTCCAAGGTACGATTTTTCCTCACAACTGTCGCGCGCAACATGTCGACAACACGAATTGCTTCATAAATCGACCGTACAACTTGCTTATAGCTGATGTTACGCGGGACCCTTCGGCGACGATTTTTCGCGACACGACTCGCCGATTTTAATACGTTACACGAGTCAACTTTTCGCTTAACGTTGGTTCGAAAATCAACATGTTACACGGGAGAATTTTGTGCATTTTTAAAATAGCCGCCATCTTGTTTTTAACATCGCCTCGCGTTGCGCGAAAAATCGTTGAAAAGCATGTGAGTTGTGCGCAACAGTTGTAAGGAAAAGTGTGTAAATCGGCCTTTAGAATTCATTGATTTAATATGTTGACATACTGATTCCAGGTAGAAGAGTATTCCAAGTTAGAAGAAAAACTCAAGGGAACTGTTGCTGACCTGGAGAAACGAGAACGTCAACTCGCGGCAAACGAAGCCCAGGTTAGTGTCTATTTGTTTAAAAAAACACGGTATCATTATCATTACCAACATCATCACCCAACACCAACATCAYCACCACCACCACCATCCATCATCAACAGTATCATCAACACCATCATCATTATAATCATCATCAACAACATTGTCATCATCATCATCGTCGTCATCACCCAAAACCATCATCATCATTACTATCACCACCACCATCATCATCCCCCACCACTATCATCACAACTATCACCATCATCATCAACCAACATCATCGACACCACCACCACCATTAACAACACTATCATCATCATTATCATGATCATCAACAACATTTTCATTGTCACCATCATCACCCACCACCACTATCAACAACACTATCGCCATCATCATCATCAACAACATTGTCATCATCATCATCATCACCTAACACCTTCATCTTCATTGCCATCATCATCAGCACCGTCGCATTATCGAAAACATCATCATCACCGTTATCAACAACATCATCCGCATCAGTATCATCAACGACATCAGCATCATTATGACCACCATCATCATAGTCTACCGTTGTATTTAGAGAGCTGACATTCGYGACTCAGCATTGATAAACTTGTGACTCTCCATGTGTAATATATCTAATGAAGTGAGACGCGGCATTTCCTATTAAAGTCTTAAAAGGACGGGGACTCTGACAACAAGAATTGGAATCAAGATCAAACTACTGGTGGAGCCTGCTTAAATTCTACTTTTTTGTTTGTAATTCTAAAGGCCTTGCGTCTAAAGGAAGACCTTGAGCATCAACACGAGAGAAGATTACAAGAAGTCAAAGAAGCTGCTCGAAGAATGAAGGAGGATTGTGCTCACCAGGTCGAAATGGAGAGGTAGCTAAAAACGATTGTAAGATCTCATACAATGTCTTTTACTAATCGCCCCAATGGCATACCAATCGTTTTTGAATTTTTCTCGTCCTAATGGGATCGACAAAATACTGCATTCAGATTCAAAAAAAAATATTCACCCGTACTGTACCCTAAAAATGTCTAATAAAATATAAGTATTGACCCGTTAGACCGATTTTATGACTTCAAAAGCAAAACAAGAACTCAGGACTCCATTTAAACTAGCCCTACTAAACTGGATGTCCCTTTAGAAGTGATTTAAATAAATAGATAAATATTCTACAGCCATGAATGTCCCCACCCCACCCTCTGTTAATACATGACCACCTCATTTTGTAAATCTCCTACCAAATCCACAGAGGGAAAGTACGAGATTTAGAGCAGCAGAAGCAAAGGCTGGTTGAACAGGTAAGAGCAGATAAAGCTTCTTCTTTTCCTTGGTTTCCAGCTCGATTCTAGTAAAGGATCCTGGGATTGAAGTGAGCCGATATGACAGAAATGTTTCATATCTTGTTTTGTAGTTATACGCAGCGGAGAAACGTTATCAGGACAAGGAGAATGAGTTCGTGTCTTACAAAGAAAATCAACTCACTAAACCTGAAGTCAGATTACAGTCGGAACTCGATCTCTTGAAGGTTGAARAGGTAAAAAGATGCACAGCGCATCGCATTCTCATACCAAGACACTTCAGCTTTCGAACAAAAAATCATTTTTTTATTCTCGATTTTTTGCTGAGAAGGGTCTGGGTACGAGAATGAACACCTCGTTCAGTTCCTAGACTTACTATGGATTGAATTTTACATTTTTCAACTCCTTCACATCAAAAAAGAAAACATTCATAAAAAATTCGAGTTCGCTCACATTTTTTCACTCGTTCATCAGATTAGTCTGCGTCACATCCGGAATTTTCTTCGTAAATTCCCTACTTTCACGCAGGCTATCATCAGATTTGATGTTTTGAACTTTTTGTTTTAAAAAAGGCGGCTTTTCTAAGTGCCGGCAAGTTTTCCTAATTTATTTATTGTTTGTGCAGTCTATATTCACAGCCACTCTGCTACGCGTCAGCATCTTTGCATCTTTTTTTTTTTTTTGCGCTTTTTCAAAATTTCATGAAATCTCACTCAAATTTTGAAATCTTTTTTCCCCCTCGATTTAGGTTGAATTAGAACGGAAGCTAGACACGGCAAATAAATCAAAGATTCACTATAAGCAGCAGTGGGGTCGAGCACTGAGAGAAGTGGCACGACTCAAGCAACAAGAACAAGCATTGGCGAGAGTGAGGCTTAAGAAACAGGAACAGGAGCTGGAACGCATGAGGCTGCGCTACCTGGCCGCTGAGGAAAAAGAGGTGAGCTGGGAGTTCTTATGGAATTAACGGTATCATAACGATGTAAGGATAGTGGAAACGACATTTAATGGAGAGCATCTGTTGAAGTTACTTCAAAGCTATTTTTGCTTGCTTGCCTGCCTGCCTGCCTGCCTGCCTGCCTGTGTGCCTGCCTGCCTGCCTGCCTGCCTGCCTGCCTGCCTGCCTGTCGTTTTCCTCCCTCCCTTCGCAGTCATACATACATACATACATACATAACCTTTATTTCAATACGGAATCTCTTCATAAAAATGCTCTTCCGGAGAGCCGTATATACAATAACAAATAATAAATAATTAGATCAAATAATATGTACAAAATTTGCAAATTACTCTATATATCCTAATGTTCTAATTTACTACAATCTACTAAAAATAGCTTAATAATACTAATAATAAATTATTCTAAGTTTTTTACAAAAAATTTAAGATTTGGTTGCCCTCTAGTATGATTGGGCAAATTATTCCAGAGAACTGCCCCCCTGTAATGGAAGCTGTTTTTTCCAGCTTCAGTATATGGTTTTGGTACCGTCACATTATAAGTTGAGTTTCTCAGATTATAAGAATGCACAGATTTTGTGCTACTAAAAATCTGAGTCAAATAATGTGGAGTAATTCCATTTAATGATTTATACATTATTTTTGCAAGTTGTTTATATCTTCGAGTTTCAAGATTATCCCATTTGAGCTCACACAGAATTCCTATTGATCTTCTATCATAATTCGAACCTGTTATTACTCAGCTAGCAGCTCTATTTTGAAGTGTCTGAAGCATGTCACCCATCCCTTTCCTACAACTCCCCCACACAACACTACAATAATCGAAATATGGTAGTATAAGAGAGTTGTACATTGTAATTAATGTATCGTATGGTACATTAGGTCGCAGTAGGTAAAAGATACTAGTATTTCTTGGCTTCTTGTACTTCGACAGCGTATTCATGTGTCAATCAATTATGACTGTCTAATATCACCCACCCTGCAGGTTGTAAAAGCTTCCGAGAAAAACGAATTAGACGACATCAAGCAAGAGCTATTAAGGTTTGTGACTGTTCTAAAAGAACAGAAAAATATATGCTATATATAAATTTATAATCAAATAGTGGGTGACAGTCGGACAGTCACCCACTATTACGGACACTTGTTTTGGTGTCAGTGATATGCCTTCACCCATCCACTGAAACTGACTTCCTCTTGGTCCCCACCCCCACCCCCACACTCTTCACCGTACCTATATTAGCAGAGTTCATCTTTTAACGTTTTTCCTCAAGGCTGAAGCAACAAGAACAAGACAAATTACGGCTGTCAGAAAGTACGTCACAAATTCAAGGACCTACTACTCAAAGACACCAGATACACGAGCCACATTCACATCACTCAGGGATGGGTTCCTTCAACGAAGCGCAAGAAGACATTGACAATCGAATAGCAAAATTAATAGAAGAGAGAGACACTTTATTACAGACAGGGGTCTACACGACGGATGATAGAATCATTGTGGAGCTTGATAGACAGATAAGAGATGCTATAGCGAGTAAAGGATGAGGAAAGCTATCTTGCTACATTTTGGGGGGAGGGGAGGGAAGGGGAGATGCCAGAAACATTGAATGAGAAAGAGAAAAAAGGGTTGACATTGAAAGAAATGAAAGGGAAGGAAAATAAGACTATAAAAAAGCTTAGGTGCATACTTTTAATTCAGTCATTCCTTCAATTCCTTTCTTCCCCATTCCATTCCATTCCATTCTACTCCAAGGTCGTATCCACCATATTTCATAAAGTTACTAATCGTTCGAGGTAACGCGACTGGAGGATAATTTACCGTTCATGGACTAAAAAAATATTTTTTAAGAAAGAATATTTTTGTTCTCCATAATTCTTATGCCATATATGCGAACCTTTGAATAAGTAGTTTGCCCTAATGATATCTACTTCAAATTTTGAAACACCCTGAAACACCTTAGGGCTGATCAAAGTCAGGGTACAACGTACTCACAGATCGAACCCTGGAACAACCTCTGGGCTGATCTAAGTCAGGGCACGCTAACTCACAGATTAAACCCTAAAACAACCTCTGGGCTGATCAAAGTCAGGGCATGGCTAACTCACAGATCAAACCCTGAAACAACCTCTGGGCTGATCTAAGTCACGGCACGGCTAACTCACAGATCGAACCCTGAAACAACCTCTGGGCTGATCAAAGTCAGGGCACAGCTAACTCAAAGATTGAATTGGAATTTAAGGCGCGATTACTCGGAGCAATATTTCTCACTGCAACTTATCTCGCAACGTGCCGGTCACAAGTTACAAGAGTGTGTACACGGTGCAACGGAGACGCAATCGTTGCCAAGAGTAGAAACGAATTTTACTTTTTGCAACGATTGCTGCAACTTGTCTCGCAACATTTTTTCAAATTTCCCTGTAGATTTCACTTTGCAATTATCCATGCAACTCGCCGTTGCGAGACAATTTTCAGAGATAATTGCTCTGTGTTATCGCTTCTTTAGAGTGTTGTGTTCTGCGGAGGAAAATCAGACGCGTCTTACTTAAGATGCGCCCTCAATAAGACGCGAACTGATCCATCTATACGAGCGTGTCTTACATCTTATTTGGGCCGATTTATTGATACTTATCCCTGAAGTCCCGCTTGCGCACACTGTGTTCGCGTCTTAGCTAAGACGTGAGTGTCTTACACGTACATGTTATCTTAGAACAGCTCGTAACCCTGTTCTCAAATAAGACGATCCTTGTCCAAAAATTTGACACGAGCAAGAATTTTGTACGGTCAGCTCGTGTCTTATATAAGAAACAACGACTATAGATAAGAAGGTAATCTCGTATTTAGTAGTGTCTGAAAATTGAAAATTATTTTTTTGAAGAATTTTGAAACAGCAAAATTTATAAACACACACAAAACAGGAGCCATCGTCCCATCCTTACATTTCTTCTAAGAAATATTGCAACATTGAAAAAATGTTGCAAAAAATATCATACCGAATTTTCTCAAATTTTCTTGAATTATTGGCAGATCCAGTGTTCTCTTTACGGTCTGTTTTTTTGTCGATCATGAAGTTTGATTCGTGCCATTGAGTTGAATCGTAAACAATGACGTCATCCAAGAACGTTCCACAAACCTGAAGTCATCCAAATTGAATTGCGCAAAAGGTAGCGCAAAATTCCAGTTTTTTCATCTTGCAGCGCTAGATATATTATTATTATTATCGCATAAGAACAAAAGTAATCGAGTCACGTACGATGAAGAATAGGGATTATATCATCCATGGCATGGCTGGGATTCCTGCCTTTTGTCTTTTTGGCTTTAGATTGTTTTGGTTAACAAATTCTAGAATTTTTTAAGTGTGTGATGTAAAATCTAAACTGTAGCGATCATTACTACGGGTTGTTAAATAGCTTTCTTTTTTTATTACACATTTAGGGTCGATATCAGTGCGATAAAGCCGTGAATAAAAACGATATCAAACTCTTCATGTGATAAATCTCTATGAATTGACTGCGCTCGACTAGCGAAAATTCTTGAATGAAAACAACAAAAAAATTTAAAGAAAGTGAAGTTAAAATTTCGCAACTTCGCTATAATGTGATCAATATGATAACCTATTGAGACTATATCATCGATACTTTTCGGATGATTTCTAGTTATTCGATATTTATTCGACTGTTACGTTTGGTTTGCTGTTCATTTGAGCGTAAAATTACTGCATTATTCATCACTTTATCAACAACAAAAAAGTGTTGCTAATGTAATAAATTTTAGCTAGCTATGRCCGATTTTAAAGCCAGTCTATTACACTCGAGCCTCTGTAGTTCAGTTTGATGCAGGTTTGCAATGCAGCTCGATATAGCTTGTCGGAGAGGCATAATTTTGAACTTAGCCACACGACCAAACAAGACAATAAGTTCTGGAAGAATGCGCCACCCTTTTTAGATTATTCTAGACTGTGTTTGTTACTTGACTATTTCTATGGTGAACTAGTCAAAAAGATTGTATATATAGCAGTCTGTCTAGAGTGTAACAAGGTATCTTCATTATAACATCAGGAGTACGAGTACAGGAATTATAAATACAGGTAAAAAAAAACAACCACTAAGACTAAAACATGCACTAAWAAAAGATCATTTAAAAATATTTAAAGCTCGCCCTCTGTTGAGCTAGTATGCATAAGGAATATAAAGTATACAAACAAACAAAAGTTCAAATCACCAGCATTTTTAAGTTTTCTTAGAAAAGCTTCCTCATTTAAAAAAAAAAACCATTCGGATTAAAATCGGGATAAGTGGGGATGTGATGCCTTTGCAAAAATATGAAATCCTAAATTCTTCAAAAACTGTTTTGAATCAGTCATGTTTTAACTTTTAAGAATATTTACATTTCGTCAGTCTTGCTATGGTTTCATATAGGGAAGAAACAAAATTATTTTCAAAAAGGATTCAAAGGTTTTTTTGATTTATACAAAAAAAATGAACTTACAAATATATATAGATATATTATATAAACAGGAAAGGTGCAGATAGAACAACCTCACGCTATATCAAACAAATTTATACCGTATATTTCCTCTATTAAAACCAATTGTCAGTTTTTATAAGTTTGCTATTTAGATAGTTGAAATTATATATCTAATGAACAATTGTTCTATTTCATAATGACGATATCCAGACTATTTAGTATAATTTTATTAACATGACATTTCGCGTTATCGTTTCTAGCTCTACACTTTGGATAAGTAGAAAAGGATGTCTCAACAGGACACAGAACAAAATGGTTTGCAGTTGAGCGAAGATTTCATCCTGTGGAACCTTTGTGGAAGTAATGAGGTGAAAGGGATACGAACAAAGCCAAGCACAGCAGCCAATAGAAAGTCGGGTAAGAAATATTTCTTGGGGTGTGCCGTGACGTCATAGCCACCGCCAATTTGGTTGACTTTGACATTGGACAAGACGTGATCTTGCATGGCAAACGTGCCATGTCTCTTGTCCTGGAATCACGCCACCAATATCGCTTGATAAAATTTTAAAGCTTAAAGTGCCTATCGGACACCTATTTCAATATTTTCAGCATTTATTGTGAGTGAGCTTCTTGGAGATATCAAGGTTTATACGTACCTCATTAACTATGGTTCATGTTAATGATTGTGGCATCATATATGAGGCATTTGAGTTTATTTGTCACCATTTGTAAACTGCATCACGGATTGCTTTGAGAAAACAAATTCGCAATAACTTTTTCTATAAATCCTTAGTCAGATATGTCTTGTATATTTTATGCCTCCTATGACATCACACTCATAAACATATTGGACTATAAACCTTGATATCTCCAAAATGCATCACTCAAATCATACGCCTCGTGGATCCACACTACTTTGACCATGTGATGACGCAATTTATCGTCAATAAGAGGACAGACACATAAAAAACTGATGTAATTTGTTAAATCGAGGACCACGAGTACTAGACTCTAAAAAAGGGGGAAGATTGGAAAATATAAGAGACATGTATGATATGTTTTTCAGCGTTAGTTTTCGATATTAGTTAAATATGAGAATCATGTCTGATCAAAGCACAAAGCGGTCGCGATGGGTGGATTGACACAGCCATTTGAAGTGATTCAGATACCGGCTTGACATAGTACTAATTCGTTATGAATTTTTGATTTTTATCCGATTGAAAAACTAAACTAAAACCTAGTGCTTAAACTCATCATCATCATCATCATCGTCATCATCATCATCACCATCACCATCATCACCACCACGTCATAATCACCATCATCATTAACACCACGTCACCATCATCATTATCATCATTACCACGTCATCATCATCATCATCACCACATCATCATCATCATCATCATTAACACCACTTCACCATAATCATTATCATCATTACCACTGTCATCACTATCATCGTCATCATTATTATTATTATCATCATTATTATTATCATTATTATTGTTATTAGTGTTATCCTTATTTCCATTTTGTTTAAATTTTGCTTACAAAATCCTTAGTTTTCTGAGTCCAATCCATGGAGCTAGGGAAAACAAGAATGAATGAATTTTACTAAAAATTTACTGAATTATCGTTATCATTATCATTATTATCATTGTCATTATCTTTATCATCATCAGCATCATTATCATTATCATTATCATCATCATTATCATTATCATCACCATCATCATCATCATTATCATCACCAT